TGAAGTAACTGTTTTTCGTACGGATTAATATGCTATGCCTAATAATAACGCTTTTATAAATCACATATTAGTTTTCAGTAATTTTTTGTCATCAAATATCTTATTGTCGCTTAAGAAATAGGCATATGGTATCGCAGACTTTTTTAAAAGAAGTAAATATCTATATTTCTGTTGGACATTGTATTTACGTATCACTATTACGCCAGCGCACGTCGTTAAACCATTTCGGGAGCGCTTTTTCTTCTAAATTGCTTAACGAAAATCAACATTTGAGGCTAGCTGTAAAGTGTAGCCTAATGCTAGATAGCCTATAGGCCTATACTATTCTTCATAAATCTGGCTATAATTTACAAAAAAAAATATTATTTCAAATAAGACTGATAGTTCTAGAGATCAACGTATTAAACAAACATAAAACCTTTCCGCTTTATTACATTAGTATAGATTAGATGTAAATATCTTGTACGTAAAACTGCAATCAAGCATTCAAAACGACGATATAGATCTAATTTGGGAACCTTTTGAGAAGACGAAGGAATATTACAAGCTCGAATTATCTACTAAGTACTTTAAAAATTTCATCCTCCATTTTGATGTTATGTATATGGGACCACCTCTCAAGTAATTTTTAATCCTTTTGAAAAAAAAATTATTAACATTAATATACATACAAAATATAACATACAGTCAGATGGCCCTCCTCCATTTGTTAACGTCGACTAAAATAGAAAATAACACTATAACCATTTCAACATATTATAAAACTCAAAAACCAACTATCGCTGATATCCCACACGCCGCTCGGCTCCTACTGGTTTTGGAAACCCAGACAAAGTATGTACATAATATTTATATTCTGGGTATGAAGAACACCTTGGGATGATAAACACGAGCATCTAACTTAGGTGAGGCTTACATAACACCAGCCAACTTTTTTACTTTCTTTTGAAATCTTTACTGTCGTGTGAGGAAAAAGCCCGTTTACGAAAAGGTTTTATTACTTTAGTACGATAAACCACATAAATAGCCTCCGGCAAATTGTTCAGAAGATCGAAGAGTACAATCTGCCCCTATGCTTATTGTATGTGAACTATAAAAAAGCATTTGATTCCTACGAAATTCGGGCGGTGTTACAGTCCCTTTAGTGGTGCCAAGTTGACTGTCGGTGGTATTGAAGTTTTTGTACACCAGAAAGACGATGGTTAAACGAGTATAGAACCAGAGTACGAACCCCATCCAAATGCTTAGAGGTGTAAGACGGGATGACGTTATTTCCCCGAAGCAGAATCTCTGGAGTACCTAAGCACCATGCTCAGTGACCTCAATTGTGTCTCCCAACAGATAGATTTTAAAGATGAACTTGAACAAGGAAAACCAAAATCATGATAATAACATCCATGCGGGTGGTTGTTAGGAACACTAAGTTTGAAGTCGTTGACAAGTATTTTACCTGGGACAACTAGTCCGACTAGATTGTTGAAAACGTGATCGTACAAGTAGTGCGTGTTACCAGGGATGGTTTATGGATCTGAGACGTGTTCATTCACTGCTGGCCGTATTAGAAAGCTCAAGGTCACTAAGCGACCTATGAAGTGGGCTTTGCTCGGGGTTTATCTGCGTGATAAACTTAGAAATAAGAATACCCGCAGTAGAACTAGAGTAACTGACATATCCTAACGGATCAGTAAGCTGAAATGGCAATGGGCTAGCCATACAGCTCGAAGAATTGACAGTCGATGTGGAAGAAAGATTCTTGAATGGCAGTCTCATACCGGTAGGCGAAGTGTAGGTCGACCCCACACTAGATGAAGTGATGACCTAGTAAGATATACAGAAAGTCAATGGGTGCTGGTGGCTCAGGATAGTGGTTTGTGGCATTCCTTGGTGGAGGTCTATGTTCAGCAGGGGACTTGTAAAGGGCTATAATAATGATCATGATGAGTGAGGTACACTGTGTATTCATTAGTCGCATTAAAAACTCGTTGAAGAAGTTTGCTAATATGCACAACTCATCACTATGATTTTGTATATACTGAAAATATAGTGAGTGCTATTGTTTTTCATATCATATCCAATATTAGGACAACGTAAAAGATGTGTTTGTTCAAACATTATTATTCTTACATAAGTGTATGCTTTTACAGTAATTTTAAAGTATCATTGATACTTTTTTTTATTATAAACAAAATTAATAAGGACGTCCATTTAAGTTTTAATTCGAAGAAGAAAAGAGCTTACTCTTTTCTAAAGGTCCGGCAACGCACCTGCAATTCCCCTGGTGTTGCGGTTTATCATGGGCGGCGGTAGTCACTTAACATTAGGTGAGCCGCATGCTCGTTTGCCCCCTCTTCTATAAAAAAATCGACTCATAAACAACTAAATTTTATGGTATTGAAATTGATTCCTCTTAATCGTTTTTGTTTTCGTTTGATCATGGGCGGCGATAGTCAGTTAACATCAGGTGAGCCGCATGCTCGATTGCCCCCCCTTCTATAAAAAAAATCCACTCATAAACAACTAAATTTTATAGTATTGAAAGTGATTCTTTAATTATGTGTAATTTATTTCTCTAAAATTGGGACCGCTTCCGTCCGATAAAATTTTTAATTATCTAAATTTTAAACTTTTTACTTACAACAAGTTTTATCTTTTACTATTTTATTTCCGTGCAAAGCTTGTTGGCTCAGGTACTAATTGAACACTAGGAAAAGTCTGTCCAACTGGTTACATTGAATACATGGTTTTTTACATTGGCAGCGATCACTATATTTGCAGAGCTTATTTTCATAAGCTCTGCAAATATAGTGATCGCTACCAATCTGATTCTTAAATTACTTTTGTATATATTTATTTCATTGAAAACTTTATTTTACTTTGCAAAATATCTACTGGACTTAAATAATTTTCTTGAGTTCTTTATAAGAAAAGTTTTTTTTTGGTTTTAAACCAGTGAATAAAGTGAAATGTAATATTCGATAAGAATTGAAAATAATCTACGTTGATCAAAATTTAACAAATATATAATTTGATCAATAATCATTAATCTAATCTCTGATCTAATATTAGCGGATTAAATCGTCCCAGTGCATACAACAAACAAATGGCTTGATGAGCGGTAAGCGAACTTCCTGAATACGAACACTGCAAACACATGCTTTGACCTTAATTAAATAAGCCGTGACTCCAAATGCGCTGCCAATCCTAGCTGAGCACGAGATACAAGTTTTATACTCCAGTTTAAGTTTGCCAGTCAATTAACACTTGTTTGGTAAACTACGACCAGTCGGTGACAAGTGCTCGTACAGCGTAAGTTGCGTTCCGATTTAAATTATATTCATTATCTGCAATTAAAAATTTCATAACGATATGATTATTCTTTTACTTGATTTACCCGCAAAAGTCCACCTGATGGTAAGTGGTTGCTGCGGCCCATAGACATCTACATCTATTCTCGATTACAAACCAAAATGCAGATGCGTTATCACTCGAACGGAAAGATGGAGGACTAAAATGGAATGCCTTGTTTTCAGTAAAAAGGGTCTACGGTACTGTCCCTACACTTACCAAACGAAACATAGCAGGCTAGTATTCTGTGAGAGCGTGGTTCTTCCCCGGCCGAGCCGACCCATTCGTACTACAACTATACTACTAATATAACTGCAGATTGACTCTACCACGTATAATTGTGCCTAACCCGTTGTTAAATGATCGCAACACTAGGACTCTCGCACTTTTGACTTGAGTGATTGGATAGAAGTATTTCTTATTCTCGAAGAAATTGTTTTTTGTTCATATCTCATCTCTAATTGGAGGAAAGCTAGTGGTAGAGAGACCCTTTTTTACTGGAAACGAGGCTTTCCATCTTAGTCCTCAAGGGTGATAACGCATCTACGTTTTGATTCTTAATCGAAGATAAATGTAGATGTCTATGGGCCACAGCATCCACTTACCATCAGGTGGATCGTGTGCTCGTTTGTCATCCTCATTAAAAAAGACATTTTTTGAGACCATGTCGTGGCGTTGTTGTAGTATACACTGTTCCATAATGTGCCGTTAGTGGCAACAAACGAATAGATGGGAAGCAGCGACTTTTTAACAACAACTTTTAAAAAATGCGATTGCTAACCTGCATTGCTAGCATGACAACAATTGTAAATATCCCAATCACCCTCGAGGCAATTTTTAAGGACCTTTGTTCAGAAATTGACTTTTAACAAGCTATAACCATAAAGTTTTTATCTATACTATACTATACTATATTGTAGATTAGGTAACCACCAGAGCAACGTACTTTTTGCTAAATAATCCCCTCAGAAATGAGAGGAGACTAGTGGCCAGATGTTGTACACTTAATATATGCTGGAATTTTTATTAGTATCACTTACTACCTACATGTTTTCAGTTTAAGAATAGCCATTTTTGTTTTCCCTATCATAGGTTTTGAGTAGTTTATTTTGCTTTGATTTTCTGTGTAATTTTGTAATGTCGGCATTAGCGGCTAGTGATTAGGTATTGGGTGTTTGAACTAAAGCAGGCTGATGATCGTAGTTGCACTTCCGTAACAAACAAGCCACAATCAATATTGTCCACTACAATCACACTAAACTAAAGCACGCTTAAACTGTGCTTTTTCCAAAGTAACACTGTTGTTTTGTATGGTTCTTAACCTTCCGTGCACCATGTGGGGTCTAATAAACCCCCAGCGAAACAAAAATGTTTGTAACTCTTTAAAATTCGCACGCTTGCTCTGATGCTTTAAGTAGCTGGAGTTGCGACGTTGCCAAACCGCCTAGTGACAGTGATTTAGTAAACGTGTCGCGGGCGCAGCGGATAGACGTATCCAAAGTGCTTCAGGGTCTCACAAACCCCACGTGGTTTGGGACGTCGTCTAAAACATAAGTAGTGTGTTTTTGTAGAATGCAGTAAAACTATATTACTTTCTACTTTTTTTGACAGTTTTTTAATGTTAACGTGTTATCAACAGGTGCCTTGGATTTGAAATGGCTCATCGAATGAGTGACAATGCAATAGCATCTGCCCTTGTGGAAGAAAGTGACGACGAATTGGATGAGCTCTTTTTACCTGGAAGCGAAGATGAATCGGATCATTTGAGTGTGCAGTCTGAATGTGAAAGTGAAGAAGAAGAAATTACTTCGGGTGGTGAGTTTTCTAGTTCTCGTCAGTTTTGTATGGGTAAAGACTGCAAAACTAAATGGCTAAAGGAACCGCAAAGGACTAATATTCGTACAAGAAATGAAAATATAATTACACATTTACCGGGAGTAAAGAGTCAATATAAAGATAAAAAAACTCATTTGGAATGTTTCGAAGCATTTATTTCCAATGAAATACTAGAGGTAGTTGTAAAATGTACCAATGTAAGAATATGCTTATCTAAACCACAGTCATCAGATGGCAAAAACATAAATGCGCTGTATTCTGAAACAACTAAATCTGAAATAAAAGCTGTTTTAGGGCTTTTATTTTTAGCTGGATTGTATCGATCTAGTAGACAAAACCTCAATGATTTATGGGCTCATGATGGTACAGGAATTGAAATATTCCGTTGCACAATGTCGAAACATCGATTCTCGTTTTTACTCAATAGTTTGAGATTTGATGATATTGCGACAAGGGAAGAAAGAATAAAGACTGATCGTTTGGCACCAATCCGAGACATTTTCGAGATCTTTGTCCAAAGTTGTCGAAATGCGTATACACCTTTTGAATACCTAACACTAGATGAAGAGTTAGTTGCCTTTCGGGGTAGATGTGGTTTCCGCCAATATATTCCATCTAAACCTGCCAAATATGGAATAAAAATATATGCCTTAGTAGATGCAAAAACATATTACACCATGCATTTAGAGATTTACTGTGGTAAACAACCAGATAATAGTCCTTTCGCGGTCAGCAACAAACCCTATGACATCGTCGATCGTATGGTGAATTGCGTTTCTGGCTCTTCAAGAAATATAACAATGGACAATTTTTTCACCAGTTACGAAGCTACTGAAAATTTACTATTCAAACATAAACTAACAGTAGTTGGTACCTTGAGAGCCAATAAAACTTGCATTCCACTGTGTTTCAAGCTAACACGAGAGGAACGTTCTTCAAGATTTGGTTTCCAAAAGGATATAACTCTGGTTTCTTATGTACCAAAGCCACACAAACACGTATTCGTAATGTCGTCTCTACATCATGATCAAGAAATAGATGAGGATACCGGCAACCAGCAAAAACCATCCATAATTACATTCTACAATAAAACTAAAAGTGGAGTGGATGTGGTGGATAAACTCGCGAGGACATATGACGTGTCTCGTAACTCTAGGCGCTGGCCACTCACTATATTTTTTTCGATGCTCAATCACGCGGGAATCAATGGTATGATCTTACACATGTTGAATAATTGTATTGAAACAGTAAAAACTAATCATAGAAGGAGGTTTATTCGCGATTTAGGAATGGCTCTGATAGATGAGCATTTGAGAAACCGTAAAGACAATCCACGGATTCCGAAAGATTCTCGTAAACGCCTATATGATTTATTTGGTGAAACGCCTCAGGAGCCGCTAAAAAAAATAGCAAGATCTAAAACAAGGTGTTCGGAATGCGACTGGAGAAAAGACCGAAAGACCAAGTACAGTTGTGAGAAATGTGAAGTACCTATATGCTTAGAGCACGCACATTTTTACTGTAAAAACTGTGCTGACTATAACTACCCAGGATCTCATGAAGACTGAATATATTAAGCCACCCCTAACTGTATTTTATTTTTTATTACGTTGGCCTTTGAAATAAATGATATAAAGGTTTTTCAAAAAATATTTTTTATTAATATAGGCTATGCCAAAGAAGAGTATAACTTTTAGTTTGTGAAAAACTCACTTTTATGTTTTTCATATATAAGAGTATTAAAATGTTTATTCTATTTCACTAGTTTATTTTATGTTTATCCAATAATAAATCAAAAACACTATACACACAAAAACAAACAAATAATTTAAAACAACACATTCTATTACTCGATAATAATCAGGGTCCAGAAAACCCCACGTGGTGCAGGACGCAACTTTTATCCACGTGGTTCACGGAAGGTTAAGTAGCCATATTCTTTTAAAAGCAGAAATTTATATAGTATCTACTGTATTACTATTATTTAAAATAAACTGCGATAAATTAATATTTTATTTATATTTTAAGTCTGAAGAAATGTAAAATAAATAATACTGCTGTTTTAATGCTACAGAAAATAGATATCCCACTACATACACTTTAATGTGGAAAGGAGGTCAAGTTCGGTACAACGAGTTTCGGGGTTTTCGGCTTCGCCGATGAAAGAGTTGCTATCTGAACGGGCGCCAAGCATTATATCTCTATAGCAGTAGCTTAAATCATAGGAAATATAGATATTACAGTGGTACATTCCTATTAATCTGATTGGTCAAAAGTGAACTATCAACAGTTTATAGATTTCAGATTTATTATCCTTTTGTAATATCCACTACCCCGTATCAACCCGTGGGTGTCGTAAGAGGCGACAGAGAGAATCAAATCAGGAGATGTGCAGCAGCATCTTCCTGATAACGACTAAAAATAAAAACTGCGGTTGGCAACCCGCTTTCCAAGCTTTGCAACTATGGACTAAATTTCATTTCTCAATATAAGCTTTAACGTTATACACCTAATGATCTATCATGATGCCAAATTTTAAATTTATTCGTAATCTAGAAATAGCATAATATTTTTATTGACAAATGAGTCTGCGAGTGTTTAAATATGGCACTTGATAGCATGCACGCACACTTTGCTTAATAATCTAAACACTATTACAGGTTTATTCATGAAATTTGAGATTTTAGACATGGAAGAGATCCTCATTAAGTTTACAATTGTGTAAATCTAACAATTTTTGAATTTTAAGGGGTTCGGAAATGGCTCAAAATGGTGCGTGTAAATATACACATTGCTGGTACAATGTTCTTATTTCCGAAATTTGATTGACATACTGTCGTGTTCAGATAAAGGACAAATTAAAGACGTGAGCCTCAAATTTATGTACTATCAAAATGTCTTATATCTGTACAACCGTCACTCGGGAGACGACTGAACAAATTTGTTGTCCAAACTGACGTCTAGCGTTAAGCATCATACACACATATGTTCACACTTTAACTGACGTCCGTAAATCCTAAGCCGCGCTATAACCTTCATGACATACATTCACAAATGGTCTTCGTTACTACTATTATAGGAACTAAATCAGTATAACATTCGTAAAGGTTGCTCTTGTCGTGGGATTACTTGTGAACCTTTAGTAGTGGCAATTTTCTTGAAACATTCACATGGCACAATTGCAGTTTCACAGTTTTTTTTAGTTCTTAATTAATGATTTCGCTATGTGGATACAGTATTATTTATTAATGTATGTAGATTTTTAATTTTTATTTTCCGTACTTTTTAAAGGAACCTACAATTCTGTCAACAATTAAATTAAATTCTTAACGAAACTCTTATTATTAATTATTGTATTTAAGAGGAGCAAAATAGAAATCCTTATATTCAGTACATAATAACATTATTTTTTAATCAGTTGATTAAAATATATTCCCTACTTATGTAAATTATGTTTTATATTCAAAATGCTTATCGCTTATATACATTAAGTATTGATTATCTCTGCAATTGCCTCTGTCTAATCTCTAAATAAGATGTCATTCTACTTATCTAGAATGCATTAAGTAGAAAGCTAAAGACAGAAACTTAAAACATTTTTAACTAGACGTTATTGTTTTATTTTTAATCGTATGATTCGAAAACAAAAGATCCGTTTTAAATATTTCAAATGTACCACACTATTCTAATTAAATATTTCATTCATTCTTAATTTTTATTTTTTTTTAATTAACGAAATCATCTTTTTTAATAATAAATCTACACTTGTTTTTTTTTTTCTCGAACAAGATAATGGGCAATCGCCGGGCACTTTCAGGGTGAAACTAAAAGCATTTTCATGTAATTTGTTATTGATTTCCAGTTTTTTACTGATGAGCATTTCGGTCAACGGACAGAACAATGCCGATGGGAGCAGGAGACAAAGGCGCTATTTACTTTTCACTCCCAACACCCAATGGGGCGTAAGTACAGAGTAAAATAACGTCAACTTATATATTATAAAAGATAAAAAAATCAGTTAACATATATATTTAACCGGTATGAATCAAGGTTATTAGGTATTAATATTTTTAGTTACTATATATTGACTACTATCCCACGTGATGATAAGTGGCTGGCTGAAGATTGTAAAGCTCACTGACTTAGTTTAACAACTTAACAAAAGCCCGCACACTCTTACCTTGAAGACAAAGGTAGATTCCGGCAAATGTTCATACGTGGTAGAGCCACACTCAGCTATATTATGTTTGTAGCACGAAGGGGTCAGCTCGACCAAGGAAGGACCACGCTGTCACAGAATACCAGCGTCAAATAGCAGTGTAGCACTACCGTTTTTCGTACGGTGCGTCTATACGTCTATAGTACGCATGCTATATAAAGCTTCTTATATACGTGCTACAATATAAATATACTACATTAATTAGTATTTTATATTGTGGTTGCAGCACAAATGAATCGGCTCGGCCGGGGTAGGACTTCAGGAGAGCATTCTCACGGAATATCAGAGTAACATAGCAGCTTAATGGTGCTGTGTTTCGTATGGTGACTGTAGAGAACCGGAGACCCTTTTTTACTGGAAACGAGGCATTCCATCTTAGTTCTCAGGGGTGACAGCGCATCTGCGTTTTGATTGTTAATTGAGGATAAATGTAGATGTCTTTGGGCATCCACTTACCATAAGGTGGACTGTGTGCTCGTTTGTCACTCTTATTCTATGAAATAAAAATTCCACCCCTTTGCATTAACATTGTAAGCAACGAATCAAACTGTTTGGTTTATATGCGTGGTATGTCAACAACGCGAAGGTTGTCAAAGATGGAACGGAAATGGAATATATAAGGCATACAATTTTTGCACACTTTAACATTTTGATTGGCTACTTACACGTCACCATCAGCATTGCCATCACCATTGTTAATCCATATAATCTTACAACTTACTGCTCGCCAATGAACTCTTCAGTCTTGGTCGATTTGGCGATTGCAGAGCTATAAGTTCTTTATTTAAAATTGAGGCTATATATGAGGAATCAATTAATTATTCATGACATGACCGTCCTAAAATCAGAAGGAATAATAAAAATTCTTCTTTCATTTATTTCTAAGCCCTTTTTAATCCACTATTTAAGAAAAAAACATCTTACATGTGTGCACGATACGTGAATGAGTTGTTAAGCGTAAAGCTTACATTCATATTGCTGCTTACCATCACTAGTTAGCAAGATATAAGTTTCATTTTTTTTATAGAATAAGGGTAACAAACGATCACACAGTCCACTTGATCGTAAATGGATGCTGTAGCCCACAGACATCTACATTTATCCTCGATTAAGAATCAAAACGCAGATACATTGTCACCCTTAAGGACTAAGATGGAATGCCTCGTTTCTTTTCAAATATAGCTGCAGCGTGGCTCTACCACGTAAAGTCTTTCTCGCCAGTTGCTGTTCCTCAACTCCCCATTCCTTTATTACAGAGTGCACTGCTTTCTTGAGTTTAACGTTTGCAGTAAAATGTAATAATATTATATTCTTCTTCACCTTCATAATTATCAACCCCCAAAACTCCACTAGACGTGGGTCACTTTCGTTGTGGGAGGATTTCTCTTAATCAGCACAATTAACCATCGCAGTATCAAACGTATCTTACTTTTGAAGTTTCTTACCTTATACCACCATCTATCGGGAGTCGTGACATTCCTCTGGAATTTCACATAGTTAGCTCTTACGATATATACGGGATGGCTTATGATTGAAAAGAACCAGGCCTGTCCCATTGAGTTATAGCACTACCCTATATCAGCCAGTGGTTTTCGTAACAAACGACAGAGAGAGACTGAACAGGAGATAGGCTGTAGCGTTTTCCTGGATTAAAAACTGCTGTCGCCGACCTATTGCCAAGCGTGGCAACTTTACAAACGTGACAAATATACAAGGCAATTTATAGGAGAGGCTTATGATACGCAGCGAACTTTTGATAGGCTTTTGTATGACTGAGTGATGTTTTTCTTTAATTGTTTTTAACAACTCTGACACCTAAAAGAAATCTGTTTCACGATTTAGGTCTTTGTGACAGTATCGATACCATTGCATCCTGAGACAACGGTTAGCGTCGCCTGGTTCTTCGAAGCCAATTACTATAACGTGGCTAACGCTACGTACTTTGAGCCTTTATTGGGAGATACTATGGTTGGTTTTAAATTTTAATATTTCACTAAATAATTTTCGTAATTTTATACAGCTTATGTACGTACGACTAGATACATACCCCTCTTCATCTCTTTACTGGGTATTTTATTACCGTTTGGAAAAAAAATTGGGTGTCACACTGATATTTTTCAATACTTATTTATTTTATATTACCATATTATGAAATTGTTCTATCAATAAATAATACTAATTTGAAATAAACCTTCGATATTAAAAAATAACAATAAAATTTTAGAACTAAATAAATAAATCAATTAAAAACTATCGAAATTAAAATAATAAGTACACAATTAGTAGTATTTATTGATAGGCCATTAGTACCATAGGGTTTTACTCCGTTCACTTGTTTGTTACACTCTATATTTTTCCAGACGGTAAAAAAATCATATAGTATAGTAGAAAGCAGAGGTGGGACTGCTACGTTGCTACAATGTGGGTTGATGGATTTACCAAAATCTCTACCGTTTTAAGAAGTATAAGACAACCTTGTGATTTTTCCTTCACCGCAAAGAACGTGGTAAATGAACACATTTAATAATTCAATAGTGAAGACAAGGGTATTACTTGTAAATTGGGCAATAATGATTGATTCATCAAATTTTAACGACCTCACTTTAAAAGATCCTACCTAAGCAAAAAGCCGGATCGGGTCGCTTGTAGTATTAAATATTTTTTAACTCTATACCTACTATTATTAAAACTGTAATCAACAAACTATTTAAGTTAGACTGTATTACATTTGGGAATCAGGTTAGGAACCTTAAAATTTGATTTTCAGTAGATATAATATTTAGTTAAACTAAAATGAGGAAATTTACGAAATGAATTTATTTATTTTTTGTAGTATAAGGGTGACAAACGAGCACACAGTCCACATGATGTTAAGGGGATACTACGGCCCATAGACATTTACATTTATTTTCAATTAAAAATCAAAATGCATATGCGTTGCCAGCCCTGAGGACTAAGATGGAATGCCTCGTTTCCAGTAAAAAAAATCTCCGTTTCTCTACACTCACCATACGAAACACAGCACCATTAAGCTGCTATTTTACACTGATATTCTGTAAGAGTATGGTCCCCGGCCGAGCCGATCCATTTGTGCTGCAACCACAATATAAAATACTAATTAATGTAGTACATTTATATTCTAGCACATATATAAGAAGCTTTATATAGATTGCGTACTATAATTACGTGACAGGATGACAAATTTATGACAAAAAATTGCGTGAGTAGCATAAAAAACAGACTATAAAATATATTTGAATCATACATTTTAACATAACATAATAAAACATAAACACTCACGCCTGTCACCCAGAGGGGTAGGCAGAGACTACAGACTTCCATTTAGCACGATCCTGACATACCTTTCTCGCCTCTTCCACATCCATATACCTACGCATACATGCTCGTCGGTTAAGGGTACTCTTAATTTGGCCCATTTTTATTATATCGCCAATTTGGTCGACAAACTTCCACCTAGGACGTCCCTTTCCGACTCTTCCATTCACTTCTGCAACATATATTTGCTTAGTCAGTCTTTCCGCATTCATTCTTTCTACATGACCAAACCACCGAAGCATTCCTTTCTTAATCCTGGTCACCGCATCATCTTGCAAACCACACTCTTCTTTTATCACACAGTTTCTCACCCTGTCACTCAGATTCAGCCCTAACATACTCCTTAGCGACCGCATTTCTACTGCATTTATTCTACTCTTGTGCTTCTTCTGCCACACCCAACTTTCACTACCATACGTTAAAGTAGGGACTAATACAGCACTGTGAATTGCCATACGTGCCTTTTTTGACACATTCTGACTTTTCACAATAGAGTGTAGAGCCCCATTTACTTTATTTCCTGCATTCACTCGTCGTTCAATATCCTTATCATATCTCCCATCCCTGCTGAATACACATCCCAAATTTACGAACTCATCCACTTGCTCAATTAACTCTCCTTCTATTCTTATTTCACGTACCGTTTTGCTTTCATCTCTTTCAAAAACCATCACTTTCGTCTTACTTGCGTTCACTTTCATTCCCCTTTCTTTTAATGACCTGTTCATTAATGTAACCATCATTTGCAACTCGGCCGCCGACGACGCAAGTATGACTTGATCATCGGCGTACAAAAGGCATTTGATGGTTAACTCACCCACTCTTAACCCGCATTCTTCAACTTTCAAATTTTCATACATTTTATTATTTTTAAATAACTTTTCTAATATAACCTTTTATTTCCTGTGAGGTTTACTGGTGGAGAATTCCATAAAGCAAGTCCGCTCATAGTAACCCTTAGTGTTAGGAGTCTTAAAACCCGAGAAATCCGCGAAAGATACCAATAAGAGTTTGAGTAAAAAGTAGTAACGAGAACGAGAGTAAGCTCAGTAAGTGGCGTGTTAATTTTGAAACATATTCTTTTATTTATTCTTCAAGCCCATTAACGTCTGTCGGTCAAGGGCCTCTCCCGTTGGGACTTAGCAAGCACACTAGTGATTGCAGATTCAGACACCTCGCAACTTTGACGCTCCCTTCCATTGCCCGGTCTAGTTATTTTACATCTGGCGTAACAAATATAGTTATACCACCATCTTTCGTAAGTCATCAACACACACGAGACGAAATGGGACGATGGATGTCTTACACCGATAGCTCCCCGTCCCTGGTATGTGTTTTATTTCTAGCATAATATACGAGATAGTAAGTCTTCCGAGTTTTGACAAAATAGAGTGATTGGTTCTTACCTTGATGCCCCTCACCATCATGTCAAAAATAATAATTTAATATTTTTGCTTTTCCAGATTCCTACTAAACGAAACCAGAGAAGTGTGGATAGTTTTTCACAAGTTCTTACTCGCAAGCGTCTTTACGTTTTTATTGAATCTTTATTGGAAAAGTAAGTTTCAAAAGAACTCCGGATGTACAGAATATGAGTGCAACGATTGCTGTATCTAATAGTGCATTTAATATTGGATTAATAAATAATCAAGTATTGGTTTTTGTTGTGATCGTAAAATATTTAGATTAAAAACTAAGTATTATGTAGCTTAGTGAAATAATAATGCATGGAAAAGTAAAAAAATTTAACACTTAATTTTTCACTGCTGAGCATAGGCCTCCCCTAATTTAGAGTTTTAATCACGAAGGAGTCCACTACATTGTCTAAAGCTTGTTGGCTTAAATACAGCGATTTATTTGCCATGAATATTTCACTTCTGGTATACAAAGTTCATATAGTTTAACTATCCATCCGTAGTAGAATCTATCGGTTTACTATTGATTTTCTAACGTCAATTCTTAAATCAAAGAAATAAGAAAGAAAAAGTAAAAGGAAACGCTTTTACAATACCCCAATGTAAAATGACAGCGTTATTATATAATGCTGCTGAACTATGAAATCAAGAAAAAATAAAAAAAGGTTCTAACGTTAATGGAAAGTAAAGGCTACTTCTCATTTCTGAAAGGGTAAAGTAAAAGCGCAAAAAATGTTCTATTACGTCGGTGAAATGTATTTTGGTGGACTTCATTTGATCTAATATTTGAATGTTATGTGTAATATATAATGTATGTATTTCAGTTTTTAGACATTGCAGTTTGTACTCGTTTTCCCTTAAGCATAATAAAGCAGATCCTTCAATTACAGTTAACAACTTCAAAGGTATCCGCTAGGATCGATCTATAGTCACTTTTGTACTATGAATTTCAAGCGTGTGCTCTTGATATATCACGGCATAAATACGACCTCTTCTCATTTATACCAGGGCTATAGAGCGGTTAGTCTGTCACTTAGCTCCATTTCGTGTCGCTGGACGGCAAATGTTCTCGTAACCTTCAGAGATGCAGGTTTTTTCACAATATTTTCCACCACTAAGCATTCAAAATTGCAATTAACAAATTAATGCCATCGGAATTCGAACCACGGTTACTCGCGTACAGTAAAATTCATGGCAAGCTCTTAGCCGCTGAGCTACCATGGCTCTTACAACCTTATTTATACAATTACATTATTAAAGTTACAGTCTATATACGTCCCACTGCTGGGAACAGGCCTCCTCTCATTTCTGAGAGGATTTTAGAGCAAGGAAGTTTCCGCCGCGCTGCACATTGCGTGTTGGCGAACTTCACATGACTTTTAAAATATTTTTTCTTATTTCTGAGACATGCAGATTTCCTCACGATGTTTTCCTTCATCGCCGAGCACGTGATAAACCATTACATAAGTTTTCAATTTACAATTCCATTGGTGCCGAACCCGGTGCGTACGGTAAAACCGAACGCGTACGGTGAAATTTACAGCGAGCGCTAACCATCTGAGCATGCATAATGTAACAAAAAGCAATTAAAACAAAGAAAAACACTCATCAAAAAAACTTTACTGTTGGGATAAATTTATTTATTTTACGTTCAAAGTTTGTACTTAGTCTACATATATACATATTTAGAACAACCTTAGTCATAATTTCGCGGGAGCCACATTAGAGGCTAATAAAGACGCCCGCAACATGTCTGACCTACGTAATCCAGTAATTCTACTGCCGAACACGGCTCACTGAGCGGTTCGGATAAATTACGAGCATGCGAAGCCACATACATACATAATGATTGAAAGATCTAGGCTGTGTCCTCACTGCAGCGAATGAGAAATTTTTTACAAAATTTTTAGGGAATAGTGTGCCACGCTGTCGCTACCACAAATTATTTAAAATGCTTTAATATCTTATAACATTATGTACTTGTAAGTAAGTAAGCAATTCTTGTATCTATTCTAACGGTTTGTTCGTATTTCAATAATTTTTTACTGTCTCAGCTTATCTAAATAGGTGCCATCCCTACTACACTTTTAATTTCAACGTTTAGTTATGGATCCTATGTTACAGTGCGAGAAGTGCAAAGGTATTTTTATGACTTAGCAATGGCAGTAGCTTATGCCACCCTTTGGCGGCGTAAAAGAATTCACTAACCCCTATCATCCAATGATAATAATTCACTATCCCCTATCATCCAATGATAATAATTCACTACCCCCTATCATCCAATGATAATAATTCACTACCCCCTATCATCCAATGATAATAATTCACTACCCCCTATCATCCAATGATAATAATTCACTACCCCCTATCATCCAATGATAATAATTCACTACCCCCTATCATCCAATGATAATCGTCAAAGGCAACCGAGAGAAAAAAAGGAGATGGGCAGCAGCATCCTTCCGATAAAAATTCAAATTAATAAAAAAAACGTAATTACCAACCCGCTTGTCAAGCATGGCAACTATAACATAGTTAATATACCCAAACCCAATAAGGAGATCTATGGTGGAGGCCTATGCTCAGCAGTGCTTTTGAATGGCTTAAATGAATTCGTAAAAGAACATTTTATTTATTTATATAACATATTATTTTTAAAATCTAAAACTCGCGCCGTCAGTAGTTGGCCGCAGTTCTATTACTGAATGGTTATGCTTAGCCTATTATTCCCATAATGTTCAAATTAACATATGAAATGACAAAACAGCCTTCTTATTACACTAAAAATATCAATTTACGGGTGTATTTTATAGTGGAGTTATTATATTACACCCGGAAACTCTTGTTTTACCTACACATATCCGAATAATGTAGAAGCAAGTTACTACGATAAGCTTAATGACTATTTCATTACTCATTATACTCCAATAGCCGTGGTAGTGGCGTGAGAGACTCCATTGTCACATTTGCTTGGGATCGGAAATAAACGTTATTATTATTATTATTATTATTATTTCGTCCCGTGGATATAGTAAATGGCGACTAAAGGAAAGGCCGGAAAGTCCTCACAGTCTACGATAGATGCCTGTGTGCCATCTCGTAAACAATAAATATAAGTTCCTAGAGTAAACAGCGTCATAGGTACGAGACATGCGGTGAATCGATCCTCAATTTGACTATCAAACGTGGGGATTATGATAGATCACCTGATATACTCTATAATGATGCAGTTATATTAGTAGTATAGTTGTAGATCACGCTTTCACAGACTACCAGGCTAAACTAGTAGTTTAATGCTGCTGTGTTTCGTATGGTGAGTGTAGAAAACCGGAGACCTTTATACTGGTAACGAGGCATTCCATCTTAGTCCCTAAGAGTGATAAAACATCTGTATTTTGATTCGTAATTGAGAATAGATGTAGATGTCTATGGGCCACAGCAACCACTTACCATCAGGTGGACTGTGTAATCGTTTGTCACACTATAAAAAAAACTGATAAAAAGAAGATATCATATGCCCGAAAAATAGTGTTGTATTACAATTTATCACGTATGTCCGTATCTTTATAACCAAAGTATCTCCATATATTTTATATCTTTATGTTATACAGTTGTTAAGTTTTATCACATTCGTGTGATAGAAGCAGAAATTGAACGTCAGAAATATAAAATAGAAGACCAAGGAAACTCTACACATTAATTTTTAGATAAATGTAATAATAATATGATAGAATTATGTATCTTTATTTACCATCAAATAATACAAATTTAAAAGTATTTTATTTAGTATTAGTGTTTAATACCGTAAGTATTTGTACTATATTACTAATTCGCATATTTCTTCGCTAACTAGTTTCTAGTCACTAACAGCAGTGCTAGTAGCTAGTCGTGTATTTCTATGAAAGTATTACCACGCACTGAACACAATAGCATTATGATAAGAATTATAATAAATATGGTATATTTATCTAATATCTTAAAGTATTTTGGTTTGTATGCAAAAATCCAAACTACAGTCTGGCAATTTTACCAATGGAAGTTACCTTTGCCATTACGAATGTATAGGTACAAAATTACGATTAATACTATAATACATACATAACAGTAGGGGGGAGTGGGCGGAGCCCGTGTAGCCACTAACATGTCAATTCACACCTATAAATGTCAACACATCTCTTTTGACGTTACAATCGTTTCCAATTTTCGTATCAAGCGTCGCTGCATGCAAATTATTTAAAAATTCCAAATTACACACTATGTACAAATAAATAAGTATTAAAATTCAAACGATTTTTTAATGATGGTCTTGAACATTAATCAAAAGTCTAAAATGTGTAAATTTACTCAGTCTGTCAACACAGTGCATCGGGCTTGTAGTGGTGATAAATGATAATACAACGTAATTGCTGACGCCGATCCTCGTACAAAATAAGATTTACAGCCATTCTATTGTGTATTATAGTATTCTATGATTAATACGGATAGCGTAAAGTTTTTCAAGATATGCCATTTTTCGGATGAAAATGTAATTAATAATTGACAGCTTTATTTTCAATATAGCTACATCAGACTTAATTTTAGCGTTTTATTTTAACGTAGATTTGAGCTGACGACGTAACGTCTTTGTTTAGTTCTCCAAAACTTTCGTTCATTTTGTTTGATATACTAAATATAGTTATATATTTTTGTTGTAACGTAGTATCTCTATTTTTGTAGTGGTTAGGAAATATATCATTTAGTTTGTAATATGGTGGTTTCAACATTTATCTATAAAACTGACAAGGAAAATTTACCATACTAGTGATACCTCGATGTGACGGTCACTTTGCCACGTTTTGCTGCAAACCAAAGGTACCAATATTTGCTAATAACCAAGGGTTGTCACTTTCAACTTATTATACGACTATTCAAAGAAAGCGTCCTGTAAAACTAAATTTACGGATTTTATCGCGTTTATTTCACTACTTTTACTTATTTTTAATTCCCGACGTTTCGGGTGCTTTACAGCAACCATGATCACGGGGGCTGAGATGGTTGACGTCCCAATGTCATAGTTAGTCCGGCTACCTTCAGTTTTTGAATAAATTAATTTTTGGTCCGATTTACGCAAAACGAGCTTATAGTATCATGAAGTCTTGCAGTGGTATGCTTAGGTTTGGGTTTAATTTTGTTAATTATAGGATCCCAAGCAGGTGGCAGCACCCATCCATCTTCTCTATTGAAATTTGGATGTTTTTTAATTACAATAGCCTCGCGTATCATCCTTGGTAGGAATCTTGTCTTTGTTGGTTCTTGGTTGTCATCTTGTCATCATCATCATCATTATAATAGCTCTTCACAAGTCCACTACTAAACATATACCACCCCCTGGCCATGCACATATTACTAATCGACGCTTCATTGACTGGGGATCAGCCGTACACTTCGCTTGCCGGTACGAGGCAGTAGATCGTGAATATTTCATCCCCACCGGTTAATGGTTCTTCATGCCATGTGGCCGCTCCATTGCTACTTTAGCTTACTGATACTATTATAAATTTAATTCATCAATTGCAGCCTATTAAAGTCCACTACTGAACCTACGCTACACGGTCTTAATGAATACATGGACAAAACACGAAGTCTGAGTTCAAATTTACACGCAAGCTAACTCATTTACAAGCTCAACAGTTCACCTAAGGGTCAAACAAAGTACTTCGTACTTGCGTTATCACCCTAAAGTGGAATGATACGTCTCACATCCTGCATTTTATGTGGTACTGCTTACAGTGAAGTGGCGGTTTAAGAAAATCTGCTACCCTATATAATCTCGTGGGTTTCTTAAGAGGCGACAAAGGGAAACAAATAAGGAGATGGGCAGTAGCGACTTCCTAGTAACGACTGAAAATAAAAATTGTGGTTGCCAACCCACTTGCAAGGCGTGGTAAATATGGCACATTCCATATAAAGCAATCAATACAGTGGATTTAATGGGCCGTAACGGTGGCGGTAACTGCAACACTGCTGCTATATTACGTCTGTTGCACGAATGGATCGATTCGACGGCTGAATGAGCATATTATTGCTAGTTTGATAAAGACAACTTTATATCACGATGAGATACAAGAAAACAAAAAAGGTACAGACAAAAATACCTATTTGGGTGAGGTCAACGTCCACCAAAAGACTGGATAACGATAAAAACAAAAATACCTTTTTTTTAAGTACAAAAGTGATTGTATTTACAATTTTGCAACATCTCAAAAATTATAAGTGAACAACAAACGAGAATTTATCGATGGATACCGAGCAATTGTTAAACTGCTCACTCAGAGAGTAAACTTATTTTTTTTAAAGTGTGAGAACGTACAGCTAGCTGGTTTTCTACTTACAATTTTACGGGATATTAATCTTTAAGGATCTATGTTCTAGCACTATAATAGGGCCATTTTCGCTTGCAGACACGGCTACTCCGGGCGCGCTTGCTTACTCAGAGCTATTTGCGAGGGTACTACCTCGCATTTCTGGCATAACGGCGTACTGGGAGACGTGCTTCACTTAATACTTACGTAAGTTTTCTTTTAAAGTTATGTAAGCAATATACTGCGGTATGAACTTTAAATCCACGTTTAGATTTAAAATGTTGTAATGAAATATTTTAACATAATACTTACACAAAATGGATTCAGTATGACCTTTAACCAGAAAAGCTAATAAAAGGCCATTATAGTACGAAGGTATAAAGAGGAAGTAAAATGAGGTCTTATATATGTATATAAAATTAGGTCTTATCTATTTTATATCTATTTACAAAAATCAGTTGCGTTCCTTTAGTCTCGCAAAAACTCGCAAATGGCTCGAGCGATTATGATGAATTTTGAGTGTATTTGAGTGAGTCTCTGAATCTTTTAAAAATTAAATAGGACCGGATAGGTGGCGCTGTAGTCGACACACAGAAATTACCCGTGCAAAGCTGAGGTGAATGTATAACTCTTCCGTCCGTGTGAACGGCTGGACCGATTTTGATGATATTTCGTGTATGTAGTTAGGTTGATTCGAGAATGCTTTAGATTTACAATTGGACCCGGTAGGTATTGTGGCGCTGTTGTGGAGGTCCAGATATCACTAGTATATGCATAATTAATTAATAACCCAAACAGCATACAAGCTGTATACGAGCTGTATTAAATTTCGTTTTCTCTAATAGAGGCTATATTTTCTGTCTTTATAAAAGCTGTATAGTGTTTATACATTTGTATAAACACTATACAGATATATCTATACAGATATATAAACTCTAAAGATATAAAAATATGCCTAAATTGTTCTTAGAAGTAAAAGATAGGCACACATTATACAGCTTTATGCGTTAGTAGCCCTTTATAGTACTCGTAGCTGTACATGTATAATACACATACATCTATAATAGAATTTTTTTATAAAAGATGCTGTATAATAGCTATTTTATATTATAGCCGTTATTTGGTTTGCAAGGAAACTATTACATATATGGAATTACAAATGAATATAAAACTAAAAAAAACTTTATTTTCGATGACTAAATTGTATTTATATATTTTATTAAATAATGGCGACATTTAATGTCAGATTAAAAAGTATATTTAACATATTAATATTATGCTTGGATTGGAGTTGAGTTTTGACGGTGATAATTGCTAAATCGGAAGTGTGAAATTAGATTTATCATAAATTTGTAATAAACATTGTATAGGTAACTAAATGTCGGATGTATAGGTTATAATAAAAAAATAGATATGAAGGCACATTGTACTAAAACTTTACTTACACTGCACGAACTTATTATACCTTAACTCTAATATACAAAGTCGTGAGGGCTATACTACACTACACTTCCAACCGACAAAAAATATTTTTTAATATAATAAAAAGTAACAAAAATAAAACAATCTTACATTCTAATAACATATTCGTATGTTATAACTGTCTTGGCTTGGGTAGGGCGGCTGGCTAAACCCCTTATTATAGCACATAATAATTAATTAGTCATAATAAGGTTTAAACATATTATGTAAGAGAAATAATACACTGTTTTTGGGTAGATTGATCTTAGATAATGTTTGACCAAACCTAGTGTACATTCGCGAACGTATATTATTTATGTCGACACATCACTGTAAAACACCCAGACACTAAGTTATTTAGTCACTAATTAAGTTACTTATCCAGAAATTCACATTAAATAGTACCTACTCTTCCCTTATATATTCATTCACATTTATATTTATACTTGACTAGTTTATACCTTATTTATACCTTGACATTTGAATAACCATTACTTTCATGACCCACACAAATAAGTTAGGTATTACACTCTACCATTTTTAGACAACAATTAATTATAATAGCTAAAAGCTTATGATTTAAAAGTTCAAACAATATAAAACCAAAAATAAATTATTACATTTTGTATTAATATGAACAGAACAAAGAAGTTAATGTTACATAATCATTACCTTTTACATACCAACACACAAAATCATAACACAAATTGTAATCCTAGCAGCACAAGCAATTTGAGACACCTTTATTTTTAATTCCAAAGTGTAACGCAATTATACGTATATGAAAACGTTTGCGCTTACATCAAACTATGATTACACAGTTCGATTTACACCTAATTTTAAGATAATTGCATTTGCATTTACATTAAAACATATTGTTTAAGACAATATGTTTTAATATAAATGCAAATGCAAGTAAAATGTACCCCAAAATGATGGTTATAAATATTTTTAATTTATAGAGAAGTTGAGATAGTTCTAAAAACTTTAATAAAGTTCTAAATAGAATTACAAATCAATAAGGTGCGAACTTACCCCTTTACTTCTCGTTTTATTGTCCGCTCAAATTTCACATTCTCGCTAGAATACAACAACTTCTTTCCCTTTTCAATTAGTTTTCTGAAGATAATCCGTGATGATTTACATATATTTTTGTAAAAAAACTTTCTCTTTTGTAGCAGCTCACCGCCTGGCAGGATCGCCACGTAATGTTGGTGCAGGTGTCAAGTAAGGAGACGTGTTGTTGATACTAAAACTTTACTTTTACTGAATTAACTTATTCTACCTTAACTCTAATATATATATAGTCGTGGAGGCTATATATACTACACTACAGGGGTACAGTGATCAGTATTCAAGCTGAAAATAAAGATATATGCTAAAACAAATGGCTTATATTCCTCAAACTATATATTAAATTTTGTTTTTATGGGTCCTAAAATGGCGATTATTATAATGTATATATTTTATTTTTTAAATAGTATTTAGAAGATGAACCATGATGATTTACTTTATTTTTGTAAGAAAAAAATTCTCTTCTTGTAGGCCCGGTGGTGCGCGTATATTGTAGCAGCGCACCGCCTGGCAGGGTCGCCATACTACATGGATAAGGAAAATGTGCCAATTAACAAGACGTGTTGTTGACACTAAAACTTTACTTATAATGTATTAACTTATTCTACCATAACTCTTTATACATATATAGTCGTAGACGCTTTACTACACTACAGGGGTACAGTGATCATTAGTCAAACTGAAAATAAAGGTATATGCTAAAACTAATATCTTATATTCCCCAAACTACATTTTAAATTTTGTTTTAATGGATCCTAAAATGGCGACAACTTGCTGAACAGCCTAAACGGTATTTCGAGAGCCTTAGTAGCTTAGTATTTTAGATATTGCTTACGATTAGTTTTTAATTAGTTGTATAATAGAATATTTTATTACTTACTCTGTATTGCAATACATAAAATATAATTAACTATACTTATGAAAGATGAAAAACTTTGTTTTGGGAACAGTGTTGGTTAATTTTATTTATATTTAAAATGATCTTGAATTCTTGAATCTCTTAATTGCACTAAATCTTTTTAGTCTTTCTACATATTGATTACAAATTAATTTTCACTAGCACAATATGAACACACAGCGCATGCAAAAATAATATTGTATCACTTATATAGATTTATGTTGTACTATGGCTTTTATTTATTTTTTAGTTTTATATCACATGTAAGCAGTTTTACATCATAGACAGAAGTCATAAAACTACCGTATTAAAAGAGTGTACAATCACGCCATAAAAATAAGAATTTAGAAGGTAGTTTGCATATACCATTGCCAATAATAAGATTTAAGAGATAGTATAATAACTCTTAGAGTTGTATAAGCAAATGGCAGCATGCAAAAACACCTTATATTCAGCTTTCATGATAAAATCATATTGAAGTGGTACAAAATACTTAAAGTTTTATACTACATTTTTCATATTTTTATTTAGAATCCTAAGCTTACCTAGATTCAATAAATCAGACTTTATACAGCTTGAGCTTTATAATAACTTACAAACCACTCTTATTAGGATACAATCTCTTTTCGACACTCTTATACGCTTCTAGAAGAACTTTAAATTTTATATGGTCTGGCATACCGATGTACATAACGCTTGTGTGCTGCTTGGAAAATAGTAACAAAGGATCGCTAGTATATACATAGATAAATTTACTGCCTATATACGTCCCACTGCTGTCTATAGACCACCTCTTATTTCTGAAGTTTATGGAGCAATTGGTCTGCATGTGACGATGTCCTCTTTTTTTATAGAAGAGGGGGCAAACGAGCATGCGGCTCACCTGATGTTAAGTGACTACCGCCGCCCATGATCAACGCAACACCAGGGGGAATTGCAGGTACGTTGCTGGCCCTTTAGAAAAACTGGAAGAAAACTCCTCTTGAAACGTACAGTGGTGGACCGCCAAGCATCCAGATGGAGAGGATGGTATCGGGACGTTTGCCGCGTAGTGTGTTCACGAAACTTGGCGGCTTGGATTAATCCGAACAATTCCTCAGAGCACTCTCCATGGTATATGCGAAAGAAAATGCAAAGAGATACAACATCTCTTCGCAGTGCCAGTGAATCGAGCCGATCGGAAAGCACTCGGTCGTCGACGATTCGAGCCGCTCTGCGCTGGATGCGGGCAAGTGGAAGGAGCTGGTACTGGGGAGCCCCAGCCCAGAGATGGGAACAGTATTCCATATGCGGCCGAACCTGCGCCTTGTAAAGTTGCAGGCGGTGTGCCGGCATGAAATACTGTCCCGCTCTGCTGAGCACGCCAAGCTTTTTAGAGGCCAATTTGGCCTTCCCTTCCAAGTGACCACGAAACTGCACGTCACTCGATATGTCGACGCCGAGGATTCCGATACTGGCTGAGGCAACAAGGGGAGTGCCTTGAAACTGAGGAGATACGACAAAGGGGTTCTTTTTAGCGGTTAACGCGAAAACTTGTGTCTTCTGGGGGTTAAACTGGACTAGATTTAGTCGCCCCCAAATTCGAGATTTTGTTCAGCAAAGACTCGACTTCAGACACAAGTTTGTCTCAGCACTCGGAGATGTTTTCCCGAGAAATATTGGCTCGGCCGGTGTAAAGAGCATCACACTATGCAGAAGAAAGAGCAATATGCAGAAGAAACAGCGTTGGCGATAGCACGCAGCCTTGTGGAACACCAGCATTAATAGGCTTGCAATCGGAGCTTGCACCATCTACAACGACCTTGATGCCCCGATCTGCAAGAAAGCTGGTGATCCAATCGCACAATTTCTCGGGAAGCCCATAGGAAGGGAGCTTCGAAAGAAGCGCTTTGTACCAAACCCGATCGAAGGCCTTCGCAATGTCCAAACTAACGGCCAATGCCTCCCCCTTGGACTCTACTGCCTCCGCCCATCTGTGAGTTAGGTAGACCAGAAGATCACCTGCTGACCAACCACGGCGAAAACCGTATTGGCGGTCACTAATCAGCTGGTGATCCTCAAGGTACCTCATGAGCTGGCAGTTTACAATGGACTCCATTGTTTTGGAGAACAAGGAGGTGATGGCGACAGGCTGGTAGATGGACGGGTCTGAGCGGTCGCCTTTTTTAGGGATCGGGAGGACGAAAGCCGTCTTCCATGATTTTGGGACTACGCCTAGTGAGTAGGAGTACCGGAAAAGACGCGTTAAAACCGGTGCCAACTCTGGAGCACACGTCCTCAGCACAATTGGGGGGATTCTGTCAGACCCACTCGACTTCTGGATGTCCAGGGAGAGGAGTGCTTTGCGAACCAAGCGCTGTGTGAACTGCACTTCCGGCATGGAGCACTAACACCGCGGGATGGTTGGCGGCGTACTCCCCCCCGTCATCGAGAGTCGAGTTGGACGCAAAGAAAGAGCCTAGAAGATCGGCTTTCTCCTTTGCGGTATCGGCCAGTGAGTCGTCCTCCCTGTGCAGAGATGGAAGAGATGGCTGACAGAAATTCCCCTGGACAGCCTTGGCGAGAGACCAGTATGCACGGGTTCCAGAAGGAAGGCGAACTAGTTTCTCGCCAATTCTGCCTATGTGCTCTGACTTTGCCTTGGCAATACTCTTTTGAAGGACCTAGAGGCTGAATTATACTTCGTTTTTAGAGCGCTGATGTTTACATCCCGGGACGCTGATGCGTCAGCCCAAGCTTGGTAGCACTCCTGCTTATAGCATGATGCTATTTTACAGGAGCGACCAAACCATGGCTGAGATTTGCCTCCAATGGGCACCACAGAGGAAGGAATAAAAAGTTCCATACCCTGAAGTACCACATCAGTGACAGAATCCACAATAACGTTGGGATCGTCCGGCGAGAAGCAAACCCGCCCCAAGGGTAGGATGCAAAGAAAGACCGCATCCCATCCCAATCGGCTGACCTATAGTGCCAAACACGGCGGCAGCCTGCAGAATGCAACTGCGGTTTCAGCGTGAGTGGCACCACACTCCGAACAAGACAATGGTCCGAGGAGCCTAAAGGGGCGTCGACGGAAATCTGATATCCGTCCGGGTGAGAGGTCAGCAGAAGGTCCAACAGGGAAGGTGCATGATCCTCCACATCTGTAATCCGCGTAGGCGAAGTAACCAGTTGTGTCAGACCATATGCCAAGGCAATATCATGAACAGATCTCCCCGCATGATCGGTTAAACGTGAACCAAGCCATTCGGCGTTATGGGCGTTAAAGTCGCCGAGCATCACGATCTCTGCGGAGGGGATCTGCTGTAGCAACGAATCTGTAGCCATTTGGACGTGGTCGAAGAGTCAGCCTGTTTCGGCATTACCGCTATGGGACCTATAGAGGCACCCGTAGACGCGCGGATGGTCGTCGCTGTCTACGCGTAGCCAAAGAATGTACAGGTCCGAACCTTCAAGTCTGCCGAGGCGTCGAGAACAGATGTCCTCTCTGACGTAAACGTAAACTCCAGCCCGAGGCACAAAGGAGTTTTCCAGTTTGTACCCCGGGTAGGAGAGATACGAGACATCAGCCGGAGAGGACACCTGCGTCTCGCTCAGAAAGAGCAGAGCCGGCCTCGCCGTCTCGAGATGGTAGTGGACAGCGTTTAGGTTAGAGTGAAGTCTCCTGATATTGCAGAAATTCACGGACAGCGTGGCAGGGATCGCCTAGGTCTTGTTGCTCCGTTTGCCCCGAGCAGTTGTAGTCTTGAGCGGAATTTTGCCCCCCCCCCCTCCCCTCAGAATACGCGGGGCAGCCTGAGCACCCACACTCAGAAGTGGAGAAATATGGTCGTGGATGCTCAGCGAGGGATTCTCCTGGGATGCTGGTACCCTCCTGGGATAGTCTATCATCATTTAATTCCGCTACCATGTTGATGGGGGGGGGATTTGGGCCTCCGGCCACCTGCACTTACCAGAAGAAACGCGGAAGCAGAGCTTCCACTTCACGCCGGTCTTCTGTAAGGTCGTGGTACCACCCCGGTTTGAGCCGGCCCATACGTACAACAGCAAAGCTGCCGCGTGGCTCTACCGCTATTAAAAATATTATTATAATGTTCCTCGAAATATTTTAACTCTTAGGCTTGCAGATTTCACATTGATTTCACGTGGTAGAGTCAAGCTGCAGCTATATTACGATTCTAGTACGAATGGGTCGGCTTGACCGGGGAAGAACCACGCTCTCACAGAATACCAGCGTGAAATAGATATATATATATAAATAGATTAATGCTTTTGTGTTTCCTATGGTGAGTATAGTCCCTTTTTACTGGAAACAAGGCATTTCATCTTAGTCTTCAGTGGTGACAACGCATCTGCACTTGCCACTACATCTTGTCGCTCCGTTGAGCTATGTCGGCTACTCTGGTTTTACTGTGGATAATCTCATTTCTAAGTCTATGATGCAGAGAAACTCCAAGCATAGACCTCTCCATAGGAGCGACTTTGTTCTTCCCCTAGTTAATACTCAAAATGAATCGTTGCATTGTTTCATTTGAGTATTTAATAGTGTCAAATATTGACAGCATGGTGTTACTACATTAAAATTAAAGAATTAAAGTGGTTTTTTGCAGACCCTCGACCTCAATATCCGAAATCGACGTAGAAGACTGTTATTATGAAGCGGAATATAATGGCTTAGAAGAACAATGCGAATACTACTTCAATGAATGTCCTGACAGCCCCTTAGAACTAATTTCGATGTATTTATAATCTAAAATATGTCTTCAATAAAACTAATCTTACTAAATTTATAGAATTTTTTAAATTTTTTTAGAAGTATATAATATTCCAATTCATTACTGAAGGGTGTTTATTTAAGCTTCTTTTTAAATATTAATATCACGTATACATGTAATGGATTTTTATACTTCTGTTCAAACCTATTTCCCGACGTCTGCGTCTGAATATCTTTTCTTAACTCTAAATAATTATGCTGTTTCCTATTAAAGCGATTATTTCCTATTTTACAAGATTTTAGCACTGCCTTCTCTGCTGAATGCATATTTATCCGGCAGAAAGTAAGTAGCATTAAATGTAAGTAGCAAGAAGTAAGTAAGCGAGCGATATTGGTTGCACAAAAAGTTACTAAGTTTGTCACCTTTTTGCTTATTATTAAGATAAATGTAAATAAACATTTATCCTCAATTAAGAATCGAAATCCAAATGCGTTGCGGTGTCACCGTCACTCGAGTTCTCTACACTCAACATACAAAACACAGCAGCCTTGAGCTGCTATCTTACGCTGGTATTCTGTGAGAGCGTGGCCCTGCTTCGGGCGAGCCGACCCATTCGTGCTACAACCATAATATAGCTGCAGCCTGGCTCTACCACTTATATAATATCATATAATAGTTATTGCTTAAGAAAACGATAACTCGGAAGTCCAAGCTTTTTCCCGGCTTTTTTTGTTTTAATAAAGTATTTAAAAAAAAGTTTTTTATTGAGTACTTCATGTTTACGCATATTTTTTCAGAGCAAAGGTATAGGTACTATTTCAAGAAATGTTAATTCTTGAGCGTTAAAATTGTGTCTAAAATATGAAAATTTTGTCCATCTAGGATTTAAATACCTAACTAACCTAAAACTTTAAAAGACGTAGTTCAAATAACCTCGTACGGTAAATATTAATTTAATGATTTAAACTGTGGTGAAAAATACTGTTCTGTATGCGGGCGCTCGATCAAAACCTCGTTACTGCTTTGCACGTCATCGCGGCAGACGCTGCAAATATTTGCATGATGCTAAATTGCTTGCACTCTACATCCTGCTATAAGCGAATATCTAAGTTCATCGTTCAAGACGCGAAAACGAATATGCTTTTGAATATAACTAAATACTTGTGTATTATAACAATATTTAATTTAGATTTATGTAACTAGGAGTTATCTATACGTGAAACTTTAACTCTTAGACTGGAATATAACAGAATTATTTTTATTCAGTATAGATAAAAATAAATATTTTACTGAAATGCATTTAAGTTTGACTACTAGTTCGATAAAATCCTTTGTCCAGGAAGGAAACACCTTAGTTTAAAACTTTTTAAACATTAATTAAAAATATATTATTTAATACATAATCATAATTATTTAAGTCCAGCATGCTTTGTCATAATGTTGACATACAAATATTTATCTAATACATTAATTACATTTTCACAACTAATAAATTAATAACATGTTTTTAAAATCATCATAATAATTTTATTACATTTAATTACAATTAAGTGTGAAAGCAATCGGAAATAATGAGGTAGCGATCACCTCATTTCCAAGTGTTATTACCAGTCATGTAATCTTTAGTAGAATAACAACTTTTATTAATCAATTTTTGCTTAGTAAAATGTTTTAACTACACTGGACTACAGCGATTGCTTTTTATTATTGTAACGAGATTTCGTAAAAAATTTGGACCTAAGCTATTTTTCTTCATTGATATTAAAATTAAACACAGTGTAAACAAAAGAACACTCCTGCACATCCTAACTGATTTGATTTGCTTGATCCTACCTAATGTGCAAACGTAACACTCGTCTGGGAAACTATGTACTTAGCCCAGAAGAAGTAAAAATGCTCACAGTTAAGTAACTCCTTCAATACATTGAAGGAGTTACTTAACTGTGAGCAATTTTATTTTTTAGCAGAGAACTATAGCCATAACAGGGATCAAAAATAGATCTTAAAGATCGCAGTGATAACCGTCTTTCTATAACTGCAGCTATGCCTATACAAAACAAATAGAATAAATAATATCATCTAGAATTCTGCGTATCTAATATAATTAATACGTAGAATAATTATTTTACGTAATAATTAAACGTGGAGCCCTGCTGCAGGTATACTGTAGTTGTAACAGTTGTATAGTTATCTCACAAAACACCAGTGTAAAATAGTAGCTTAATGCTGCTCTGTTTAGTATGGTGAATGTAGAGAACCGAAGACCCTTTTTACTGGAATGAGCCATTCCATCTTAGTCCTCACGGATGACAACGCAACTGCATTTTGATTCGTAATCGAGGATAGATGTAGATGTCTATGGGCCACAGTAACCACTTACCATCAGGTGGACTGTGTGCTCGTTCGTCACCCTATCCATACATACCTCTATACTGATGAAACTTCAAACCATATTTAAAGCACATTAAACTTCAATTTATGGGCGACTTTAACTTCAATTGAAATGAAATAGTACCCATTTCCTATTTGATGGTGAGATTTTTTTTTATGAAATTAGAGGACAAACGAGTACACAGTTCACATGGTAAGCGGATGATTTAGCCTATAGACATTTAACAATTGACATTTAAGAATGAAAATACAGATGCGTTGCCACCCCTGAGGACTAAAGTGGAATGCTTCATTTCCAGTAAAAGTGTCTCCCGTTCTCTCCACTTACATCCCAAATAGCATGCAAGCTGTATTGAAGTTCGTTTTATATTATTTTTATACCAGAGGCTCTATAAAGACTGTATAAGCTTTTATACAGTTTTTATAAGTAAAAAAATGGCACAAATTACACATCTATGTGCGTTAGTAACGCTGTAACGTAGCAGTACAAGCATAAAAGAGGCTGTATAACAGATGTATTACAGATGTTAATTGGTATGCAAGGAAACTATTACACTTCGGATATTGTCTTAAATTATTTTATTATATATATATTTAAAAGTTGCTTATAAATTTTAAAGAAAAGCGTCCTGAATTGGGTTTTGAAAGTAATTAAAAATGAATATAGTACAAAAACAACTTTATTTTCTGTGACTAAATTATATTAATATACTTCACTGAATGATGGCGGTATTTAATGTTAGAGTAAAAAATATACTCAACATATTAATATATAACATATTAATATTATACTTGGATTTTCGTTGAATTTTGACGGTGATATTTGGAGAATTGACAGCAGAAAATTACCTATGTATCATATTTGTTAATCATTACTTTAGGTTCCTCTCAAAAACTCAATGTTTGCCAAAAAATCCAGCTTTCCATAACAACAAATCTAAATAATTTAAATACGAATAAATAACATTGAGCATAACATAGTGTCAGTTCAGATTTAATTTGATCTGATAATTTATGTACTTATGAAGTATGTTTCTATGTATAGATATAGTAATATAACCTATTAATAAAAAGCTAACTTACTTAAACAAACGCATATATTAATTTATTTTACAAAAAGAGAAAATAAAACGAAAAAAAGAATGCCAGAAATTTTTTACTAAAAGTCAACAAAGTCTCAAAGAAAGGTGATTGCGGTTCACGGCGATGATCGTCCCCGACTCGACCCGATCTTCCCAGCAAGTGTAGTTGTCTTCGTGCTGTGGCTCGTACATACGAGTCCATACTGTCGTATGCCATGAACGCACACATATTACCAGCGTTCGGTACATTTCTTAGAAGAAATCCTACTATTCCATTTTTACTGCGATATAGCCGCGTTATTTGAGCGTAGCTTTTTAAGGCACAATAAAACGAACTAACAGAGACAATTAATTACTAAACACAAAAGAAACAGAAAAATAAAACCACGGAAAGCTGGAATTGAAGAATATAAAATAAAATAAACGATTGATAAATGTACATCGTCTACTAGTATAGATGAATGAACATTGTCTATATGTTAAATAAGATTAATCATCTTCTCTGGTAATTGTTAACAATGCTAAAGTTATAGTCAATCAAAAATTAAAGCTTTTATAATCTCTCATATGATTTGTAAGAGAAAGCAAGTGAAAGCAACTAAGACGACATGTGAAATAAGAGTAGAAGGGTCGTCGGTTGAACAATTGGATTAGTTTGTGTATTTAGGAAGTGTGTTTAAAAGGGTAGACATGACAAGGTTATAGAACGAAGAGTGAATGCAGGATTATTGAATAAATGGGGTTTTTTCTCTGTTATGGTTATGGGAAGCCCGAATATGTCACATAAGGCACATATAGTAATTCATAATACTGTGTTTGTCCCTATCTTAATATATAGTAGTGAAGGTTGAGTGTGGTTGAAGAAGCTAAAAGTAACATTAATGCTGTAGAAATGCGATCATTAAAACGTACTTTAAATGGTGGGGTGACAAATTGTTGGATATGAGAAAAGTGTGGTTTACAAGATGTTTTGACTAGGATTAAGAAGGGAGTGCTTCGCTGTTTTTATACGTAGAAATAATGAATCAAGAAAGGGTGACAAAGCAAATTTATGCAGCATAAATAAGTGCCAGAGTTGGCAAGGGGTGCTCCAGGCGGTAGTTTATCAATTAAATTGGCTATATATTTAAGATGGACTAAATTAAATGTTCCTTTAACAAACAAACATGTATGCCTAGGCATATATATGGCTAGATATATATAGAAGCGAGAGGCGTGTGTCGGGATCATGTACAACGGTAGTCCGAAGTCTCTGCCTATCCTTGGTATGTATATATAGAATTAGACTCCGTGACCTTAAAAAAGAGTATAGTACACAAGTATCAATCAATACCATTGTATTAACATAGAAATTGGATGTTAAAAATATAATAAGTAAAGTAATAAATATAAAACATTATATTCTGTTTTACTTCTTGTGTTAGTGACGTAGAACGAATACAATTTACGAAATCTTAGAGTAAAGAATAAGTTTGTTGTGGCAAAATAAAATGAATTTCCAAGTTAGCGAATCCTCCGTTGACACACTTTCAAGATATTTTTAGAGGTTTTCTTCGTAAAC